GAGTTACGTATTTATGACCGCCTTAGTATGGAGCGTGAATCACCGTGTAATGTTTCATTGCCATTGCGTCTGTATATAAACAATAATAACACATCCATATGCATGTTTATCTAATTGTCGGTACAATAACCTTTTCATTAGAGTCGTTTATTGGAAATTATTATAGATATGTGCAATACCGAGGTCATGACTTCACTTGCCATTTAGTTAATTATTTCCAGCTTTATTTCTATGAAAAATCTCAATACAAAGTAAGTGATATTGGACAATTCTAATGGTTTGTAGGCAGGCTAGGGATGCATCCTCTAAGTGTCACTTTAATGGGTCTGTATTGCATAGTCCATTTCCATTTAGGTATAACAACCCTCTATGCAAAGCATGCATGGTGGGGAGAAAAAACAGCGGGCCTAAATGCAATGTAGTGTCGAGGTTGCTTTATGGAATCTTCAGTAAATGTAAGAGATGTTAAGATTTTTGGAGAAGCTTGAACGGCAATATGAATGAGTAAAACCCTGCACACTCCAAGTGCAAAATTGCGCTACGACGTCGAGTTGCGCAAGCCAGCAAGTTCACCATACCAATTTGATGATAGTCATTACACTTGAACCATTAATGGCTGCATTGAAGATTGTATAGATAGAGGAGGTACAGACAGTGTTGAAACCAATAAAACGGTGATCACAATAGATCAGCTAGTTACAGTAATAAATGTTTGCACAGATTAATGAACCCTGATGACAATGGCGTGTCACTTCTGCAGTACTGCTCTATACGGCTTGTACTGTTTGCCAGTTCTTGAACCTAAATCTCTGCAGACCACTGCACACTGGTGTAATTGTTAAGGAACATCACCATTCTCATTTAAAAACTCAAAATTTATCTTTTGGGTCATGTAGAATTTCAAGGTGAGAATTTAAATTAACTGAAATTAATAATTGGTAACTTTTTTAGACCTAAGCAAATTAAACTGAACTTCTTAAACTGAATTTGGTAAGATTCATGGCAAACCATGTTTATGAAGTCTCAACATGAGTTTTTCCATAAAAACTTGAATGAAAGAGGAGTAAAGTTTTGTGTGGGTACGGCTCTGTTGTTTTATGCGACAATTCCACGATTGTAGAGACAGATTGACGGTTTTTGAGAGGTCTTTGCGGTTATTAAGAGAGGTATGATAAGACAAATTGCCAGTTATTGAAAGGATTTTGTGTAGGTTTGAATAATTCTTTGTTTAGTATTTACTTGTAATAAAATATGTGGTCAGTATGAAGTAATAAATTGCTGATAACTTACAGAAATTCCAATTATTATTACTGAATAACAGGACAGGCAGCTATTTATAATAACTCATTTTCCTATAACAGTTTTTTTACAGTAACTTCACAATACAGGCCACATTCCCTGGTTTGATGAATAAATAATGAAAAACTGCTAATTATCAAATTTTAAAGATACAGTAATTTGTACACATAGCCTTTTTTAAGTGCAATTATTCTCTTTCTGGTTGAGATATGTATACCGAAGTTGACCTTTCTGTAACGGACTGACATGAGTGGAATAAGTGAAAGACTAAAGAATTTCAAACTTTATTCTAGAGGTTATTTAACTTCCAACACTAAAAACAACACAAAAAAATATATAATTATATATTAATAAATGAAGCACTTTTTTGATTTTTTATGTGCTTTAGTCTGACCCTAGAATTATAGTCACCATAATTCTAGGGTCGGCAGATCAGTATTTCTGCAATAACCGGTAAAACTCGATTCTGTTTATTTTCATACACAAGACCAATTACATAGGACAGATACACATATATTTATTTATTTATTTATACATTTTAGGAAAATTCACAGACAAATAATACAATTATAGTATACTTAAATATGAGTAATCCAATGCCATTTATGAATTTCCACCAACGTGAAACAATATAAAGTGCTTAGCAAACCAAAAAGAGATTATAGGAGAATACAAAGGACACAGTCAATAAATTTAAAAAATAAAAATTACTATTAATATACAATTAAACCTTAGAGTTAAAAAAGTCTAAGAATTAAACGAACAAACCAGTGTATTCAGTGTATTAATGTATTCAATGTATGTATGTACCAGTTAGATTTGAAGCTCCCAATGGCTTAACAGTTTACACTGTGGGCACTGCATGCAGAGGTCCTAGGTTCAATTCCCAGTAGGACCAATTGGAGGAAATGAATGTTTATAAACTGGTTCAGGGAAGTGGCCTAGAGTAAATTTCGTTGCACTGGTACTCACAGTACAAGGAATTGATGTTTTTTTGTTGTTTGTTTTGATGTTGAATTGACTGGCAAATTATTATTTGTTTTGTTTTGTTAGGCTTCACAATGTCAACTTTTTATTTACTATATAATAGACATGCTTGGCCACAATCTCACCTGACGTTAAGTGACAATGTGACAGTATAAAAAATGCCTATTCAATCTTACTCAATACATTGTGTATAAATTATGAGGTATCTTGGTGATTGTTTATTACCATTCTACCATGATGCATTGACTTTACGACAATGTGAAGATCAAAAAACGCCTGTGTAATATGACACAAATTAATTGATTTATTTTTCATTGTCTTATGACACTAGGTAGCAGATTAAAAACATAATGCCCTAGAAAACTTAATTGCAAAAAAAATACAAATCTGATTTTATTGCAAAGTGCTAAAAGTTACCTGTATAATAAAAACATGATAACAGAACTACGTACCGTACATATATCTCAGAATCGGACATTATAAAACACCTTCACTCAAATAACAATACAAAGTGACCCGGGCGCAGGTCATGACTCACAAGGGTCGCTCTATACTAATTCGCATTAATCACGAAACAAGACTCACATTTGTACAGCCTACAAAATAGTACATTGTAGGTATGCAACTTAAATATCTCAAATTTACCTCAAGGTTGAATTCCAATTCAGCATCTAACGTGCACACCTTCACTGGAAACGACTTAGAAGTCTTCTTCCTTCGAAACGGAGGCATCCTTACTTTAAAATCCCATCAATCCATCAAGAAACGAAACAAAACACTGACCAATAGGTTATGTTAATTCACTTTAGCGATAATTAATTACCGCGCAATGCCGTTTACGTAATGAACAACCAATAAAGGAATGCGTGTAATTTAACATTGCGTACTATTTCCAGCGGTTATTATTTACAAACAAGAAAACCGTCAATGAAACAATTACGAAGTGAATGAAAGAAAAATTTAGGAACATTGCGTTCGGTTTCACAAGTTCTCGTGCAATTTTTTGTTCGTTAAATTAGAAAGCTTCAGATAAAGTTATGTTGCGTAAGTAGAAACGTAACTCATTCATTTTTCGGGTTGCCAGAAGCCGAAGCTCCAAAATGCATCGACAATATTTTTTACTTTTCTTTCGTTTTAACGAATGTGATGTGGCCATAAAGTTAATTTATTACATTGCTCCAGACTTCACGTTGGTAGAACTGAAATTTTGACATTTGTTGACAGTTATTTGCATCAAACTTCAAACTAAAAAACTTCATTACCACGTGTGGTGTGTTTAACTCAGAGTGTTAGCTACTATATATCTTCCTAATTTGTGGTGTTTAGCGTGAAAACGTTTTTATGAGTCTATAAAAATGGGGAAGTTCAGATCTAAAATCAAGGGTAAGACAAAAGGGAAGAGATGGCAGAAGGGCCAGTCCTCGAATTCCAATCCCAAATCTCAAAAATACCGGGAAATGGCAAAATCACGCTTTTTCCAGGAGAATTTGGGTATGTATTTTGAATTTCCATTACTAATGTAAACGCAATCGTCGTTTGATCTCTACTTATAATATATATCATTATTACATTGGAAACACTCCAAAAAGAAATTGTAACCTCAACTTCAAAACAAAACTTATTTTTAATAATGTACAAAATTTTGCCTCTTATTCTCTATTTATTTGTGGTCTAGTTACTTGTAAATCTTATGTACATATTATAAAATTTCAGGAAGCACTGGCTTAACACATCAAGCCGTATTAAAACACGAAGCAATGATGACGTATGGTCATAACAAAGATAAACAAAAATCTCAAGCAGAACAAGAACTTACTATAGCAAAAGAGTTTGAAAACATGTCCGTAAAGACAGGAGAAGAAGGTTCAGGGTCGGAGTATACGGAGTCCATGAAATCTGGGACATTTAAGACATTCCAAACTTTTGCTTCCGATTGGAGCCAGTGTTCTAATGTTAGTTTTAGCAAGTGAGTGTGATTGTAGTTTTTTTTATTAAACACAGAATACAAATCTATAGATATACAGATCTATAATCTTGAGGTCGAGCCAAAATACAATAACTGCAAATTTTCATAAAACTATTACAGTGTACTTTTCATGCTCTCTTCTATGGTGAAATCACACAGAAACAATTTAGTTACCCATTATTGTACCATTTAAAAGTGTGTATATCATGTGTTAGCCTTATTAGATGCCCGAGTGTTATAAGGCTTAATAAAAACTAGAGTAAGAGAATTTTTTTCCAAAAAATTTTTTTTGAAATTTTTTTTTATCTAACTTGCTATTTTATTTTGTTTAACTTTTTTATTTAAGAAAAAGTGACCTCAAAAGTTCGCTTGTCGGTGTTTTTATTGAAATTACATCTATTTGCCAAGTGTTATTGAAAACAGTTAATGGAAACGCACGAAACAACAATTTTTAAGTTCAACCCCGAGTTTGCCACCGTTAGGGTTGGAATATTGTCTTCAAATTTAAATGGGACCAAAACTGAGGTACCCTCTTTCCAATAAAAAAGAATCATCAAAAATCAGTTCACAAATGCCAGAGTAAGCGCATAACATATACACGACAAAAAATACAGTCCAATTGAGAACCTCCTCCTTTTAAGGTTGTTAAAAAGGATGTAAATTATAGTCAGTTTGTGTAATTTACCATGATTTTAACACAACACACACACAAGAATCACCATAGATATACTTTGAAAAATTTTAAATTTGCACAATTGTCCACTTATTTGTCACTTAATTGTGGTATTCCAATAATAAGTTTTGTGTTTAATCTTTTACGTTTTTGTTCCAGACTCTTGAACAGATTTGACTCAAACAACTCAATCCATAAAGATATGCTAGCAGTACTGGCAGCAGTTACAGAGGTTATCAAAGAACAGGGTGGGAAGGAGAGCACTACTGAATATTATGCTGCTTTGGTAACAGTTTAAACTTTTTTTAAAAATGGGTAATAAAAATGAGGATGGATTTTGTGATAATATTTTCTTCAATAAGTTAATGACAAGTTGAATCTCTGCTACGTCACTCCACTCTATTTTTGTAAGAATTGGAAGATATGCTACATTAGACAGAATTAGAATTTTTTTATTAGAGGATTTGTATGGGGTTGGAGAGTTTAAATACTGTATCCTGTTGGCAAGGCAGGCTAAAATTCTGTTGTATGTGATGTCATGCTGCTCATTAAGCAATATTTGGGACGCATGGGAATGCTTTTATAAAGATAGAACAATCTAAAGTGATCATAGGCCGATATTGATGCTCAAGCATTACAGGCCTTAGTCAATTGTAAATAATAAAAAAAAGTAATAAATAAATTTACTTATTTTAAAATTTACATATTTCCACTTTGGCAACAATAATTTTAAAGAAATTTTCTTAAATTTGTTTGATGTGAGCAACTGGGCTTATTTACAATATGAATAATCTTTTTCAAGTTCTAAATTTCACTTTTGTTTCAGATGGAAACTTTAAAATCTTCGGAAGATGAACAAAGCATCGTACCAACACTCTCACTTTTATCAATGGGCATTAAATCAGTTCCACAAGCCGTATTACGCAAACAGTTTTCAGATTCCGCTACAGTATTTGTAAATATTCTCGAGAAGTATGCCTCATCGGAGAATGGAGCTATATTAAGGAGTGCTATTGGATGTCTTTCCGTGTTGTTGCGAGCTCAGGAGTATGCACTGTGGGGCGATTCGTCAACATTGAGAGTTTTTGAGTCTGTACTGGCTTTTGTTTTGCATTCAAAGCCTAAGGTACGTTTTGTGTAGTTTATTAGTTGTAGACATTTCTAGTGATTGTCTTATGAATGGATAAATTTGTTCTAGTAAAATAAAATTTATAATTTGTCAGTCTTACTGACATTAAGATAACAGAACACTTGTTTAAAGTATATGTGACTGACAGCCATGTTGCTTTAAGCAATTTCTGGATATTATTAGCTGAAAAGAATAACATATTAACTGTGTAATGTGAAAGACAACACATATTCTTGCTTTCCTGGTGTGTGTTGCCCTTTAAACTGATGTTTCAACTAATTCTTTGTCAAACTTTTGACTGTGTTCTTTTATGCTTTTACTAATAATTATCTATCAAATTTTTGACAGTCATGATATTGTAACCGCTATTTCTACGAATTATCTGTCAAAATTTTGACAGTGTTGCCTTGGAAATCACTGTTTTTGCTACTAAATCTGTAAAATTTTTGACAGGTAACATAACAAGTTGTTTCTACGGCAAAATGGAGTCAGAAAGATATCATTATAATAATATATCATTGCCACAGAACTTTATTTCCTTACCTTACGCGTTTAACCAGCAGGACTGACCCATTGACTTTTCCTTTTGCTTGCAGAAACTTCATTTCACAACTTGATTAAATAATATAATAATGATCATTTATTTCGAAACCAGGTCCATAGATTGTTATAATGTGATTAAATTAATTAAACCAATTAATACCATATTCACAGGTGCGAAAAGCGGCACAACACGCTGTTACTGCTGTGTTGCGAGCCAGCTGCTTCATGCTGCCTTCCGAAGACCTTAAAGTCAAAGTAAGTTTCAATTTTCATTCTTAGAAGAAAGCGGGTATCGCAATGTTGATCCTTGATAGTTAAATTTGAGGAAAATATTCCGTCTCTAAGACAAACAAGAAAGAAGACAAACAGAAATTTAATCACCCTTAACCCCTAACGAAATGAGGAGATGAATCCGGTTTCGCGCACTTTCTGGTAACCGATTGTTAACTTTCAGTTTAGTTTCAGTTTCTATGTATATTATGAGCAAAGTTTGAAGTCGGTGATATATTAAAAAAAAAAAATTATTTATGCATAGACGTATGGACTGCGACGTGTGACGCAATGTGGGTGTCAGGTAACCGGCCTCGGAAACGACGTTATATGATGCCTTCGGAAAACTCCTCCTTCATGAAGGTCGACAGATGTTGAGTTGCTACTCTCACTACAATGACTTAAAATTCACAAAGTGGCGGGACCCCAACCGTTTGACCCTTAGGGTAGCATTGACCTTGATCCATGTATACTCCAATATCTGCGGACTTTGTGGAGTAATGAAGCCGTGATACATATAACAACTAATACAATATATTATTTCTTTAGGTCCCAAAACTCCATCCAGCATCGAACAAAGTGGCAGAATTCTGCTTATCTCAGATAAAACCCGAAGCGTTGCTGTCAGGCCATCGAACTGTGTTGCATACGCTCACTATGCTCCGGGATGTCATGCCTGTCTTTAGTAAGGATTATATTAAGGTGAGTGGTTTTGAGTTGTATAAACGCACGACAAACACAACGCGAATAAGAACAATTTCAAAAATCACGTTGTTGGGTTGTAGGTCACTACACACCTGCAGCTATAACTGTCTTGCTCGCACATTTGGATTATTTTGCTGCTATCTCATTCTGTCTAATGATACAATTGTACTGTGACTTTTTTTACTTGCATATTATTTTGATTATTGGGTCAATATGTACTTGCAAGGTTTTAGCAATTTAACCATGATGCACTCCTTCCCGCATCATATTGTCTATCAACAGACAAAGCATTACTTAAAATAGCTAATGTTAAATTTAAAAAAAGTTAAATATATTAGTGATGGCCTTAGAATTAAATGAAATAAAGGAAATTCGGGCATTCGTCCATTAGAGTTGGTAACAGAACATTTAGAAATGGGGTAATATTACATATTTAAAATAGAGTAAATAGTTAGGTAAGCTTGTCTATCATTCAATAAAAATCATAGCTTCAAAATCCCGGTGATGTCTCGAAAACTTCAATGTCCCGAAAACTTGTAAAATTATTATTTCGGAAGTTTTTTTTTGCAGACTTAGGGTCGTATTCCAGAACTCTACTCAATGCTCAAGTCAGGAGTTGAGTATGATTCAAAGCACTAGAAATCATACTCAAGTCCTTGCCATTAGGGTCGTATTTCCAGTGCTTGAAATCATACGCAAGTCTGCTCAAATCCTGACTTGAGCATTGAGTACAGTTCTGGAATACGACTCTTAGTCTTTATGTGCAGCTAGGTGTTAAAGCAAGTTGCAAATCCAACTAGCATATAATAAAGCCAGAAAAAATGACTAAATGACGGTTCACTCACAGCCTATATGTGTCAGCGCCGCCAAAAAATGTTTGTAATACACAGTAACAAGTAAAAGTGTAACAAGTAAGGCCTTTCAAAAAACAATCTAACGAACTCCTTAGCAGCAACGATTTAGTCACTAGAATTTTATTTAAAGAAAATGCCTAATACGGGACATAAACTTTGGTCGAAGTTTTGTAAACTATTGTAGAGAGAGTCATGGGAGTTTTACTCATGCATTCGGAATGAAACGTTTTCCCTGATTTTTTTGTTAACAGGGACATATCCGATTTTAGGGGTAAAAAAAACGGTGTGCGTAGCTCAGTTGGTAAGTGCAATACTACGGTGCAATATGGTCGTGGGTACAAGTCTCATCGGGTCGAAAATGTTTTTTTGTGTTTTCGATCTTTGTATTAATAACCATAATAAAAACAATTCATTCCATACAAATTGACAACTTAACCTTATTTTGTCAACAGACAAACTGCGAAGCTATCCTTTCGCTAATGACCCACAACAACGTCTATATCAAAACGTGCTGCCTTCACACTCTACACGCACTTTTCTCAGTGTCTAAAGATACTAGCAACCTATCTGCCAACCTAGCGGTCCAACTGAGCCGGGCTTTAATGGCCGCTAGACCACCTGCTAGTGATTGCGGACAAGTTCTAGCCTGGGCTGCCGTGTTGCAACAAGCTTATACTTGTCTTGCTAGGTAAGTACTTTGCCAAGCTAGAAACAACCTAAGCGACATGGTCAGACAATAAACTAGCTGTTTTTAATGGTCGCCCTCATTTTCTTGTCAACTTATGGCTCAGGGTGACGGGAGCAGTGGCAGTGACCCTCAGGTCTTTGCGATTCAAAGCTCTGAGTGGCACTGCAATTGTTATGGACAGGCGTGTATCTTAACATCATGCTGTTATAAAAAAGTCTCAAAATTCATTTAAGTGGTCTATACGCCACAAAGATTGTCCTCGGAACGAAAAAGAGCACAACTAATTTTTTTTTTTAATTGAGTCGCATATACATATATATCGGATACGATCAGGAAATAAAGGCCAATCTACTCGTAACATTTTTTTGTGAAAATATATCTCAATAATTGTTGAATATACTCCAAGCTCTTAAGGCGTAACAGACTACAATAGTCAGATTCTTTACTCTAAAAAGTCGTATTTGTCGTATTTGACGTTTATTACGTTAAAACACTAATATCAAAGGATTTTACTTGCGGACGTACGAACTTATTATGTACTTCAATTACATTATTATAAAGAATGCATAACTGAATACAATTATGCACTTTACTTCTACTCATGAGTCAAAAATTAAAAGACACATTTAAGTTAGTTGTGCCCTTTATATGCAGTTTAATTTTGTACTAAGTTAGAAACTTAAAAAAATTCTATTTTTAAAAACGGTTGATTAAAATGCAATGAGAGATTCTGTATAAAACATGGTATGTAAATGTGTCTGGAATGTCTGCAAGAGTAAAGGGGACGTGGATAAATCGAAAATCCTTTTAATTTAAATTAAGTGCAATGAAATAGGTAAGTAGTTCATTCTCACTGTCTATTTCTCCCGCGAGTACCAATGACACGAACGCCGCGCTGTCTGTGGGGCGATAGATGTACTAACGCCATTAATTCGCTTAGGGTTGTTGTTTGTAGGATTGTTAGCTTGTTTGAAAAGAAAATCAATTAGAATTTATTATAAATAAGTATAATTTATTAATTTTTATTATAATTTATTAGAAAGGTATTAAAACCTATACAACAGAGAAATCAACGTAAATAATCTTTTTTACATAATCTGTCGGCTCCATAAAAATATCGGATCTAAAATCGCTTTACTACAGTAAAGAAAAAACAGCGTCCTTATTAACAATATTGAATTTGTTTTTGCATAATGTTGTCTATCAATAATTATTGAACTTCATAGGCATGCCTATGTCAAAAATGAAATAAATAGTTGGACAAAGTTTTCATTTTTGGCATCCGTGGTAATATATATATTTTTTTCTTATTGCAGCCTGGATCTGAACTTGTGCTTACCGAATTTGCCTGCCTTTGTGAACATCTGTGTATCTGAGCTATGGTTGTCTGACGTGACTGATATCATCGCAGCCGCTACGAATGCTTTGAAGGTAATTTATCTTGTATCGCAAATTTATTTATTTAAGATACTATGTTATTTTTTCGATCGGCATCATAAAAATTCAGAAGTTTTTTTTTTCACATTTGATCGGCATCAATTCTCAGTATATTTTGTTTGTAACATACACAGTGTTTTTTTAATGGGACAGTATAGGGAAATCCGAAACCATAGAAGATACAAGGAAACTGTTTGTGAAAACAATTTTGACAATTTTTAGGTCAAATTTCTGGCTTGTCCATAAAAATGAATGAAATTGATCAATATTTTTTTAATGCTGATTGAATTAATTTCATGTAAGGATTATTTCAATGTATTGGACGAAAACAATTGGGACAGCAGAAGCTGGCCAAATTTAATCAAACTTCATTACTGGTCACCGCTGACCATGGGATTTTTGTTTTTTATTAACTGCCTCTGTGGCCGAACGGTTACCAAACTGGACTGCCACGCAGATTTCTCGGGTTCGATACCCGGGCCGGGGAAAATATTTGTATAGCCTACATTTATTTCTCTCGTGAGTTTGGGTGTATTTGTGGTTGTCTATGTGTGTGTCAATGGCACCCGCGATACAGGGTTTCCCTAGTGCGGGGCTATGAGTGTGTGCGCGTTGTTATTATTATTATTATATCTAAATTGAAATGGGATCAATACTGAGGGACCCTCTTTTCAACAAAAAAATCATTAAACACCCAAAAACTACAAGGACTTACTTTTAAATCACAATACACAAAATGGGTTTTGACAGATTGCTTTTAAAGTAATAAACAATATTTAGAAGTTACAAATACCAATTGATATTAATTCGAAGTGCAAATTGATTTGTAATTGCAGAGACAAATATGAAATACCATTAAGAATTGCACACCTGCACAGGTTGAATACAATGTAACTAATTTTACTCAATATCTCTATAAATGTGTTCTGGCAAATAAACGTATTCTATTCTATTCTAAAAAAACAAATTCGAATTGAGAGCACCTGTAAAGGGCCCGAAACGTTGGTTTGTTAACCGAAAAAAATATTTTCATTTCCTATGACTTTTTTCTTAGGCGATCCTTCTAGACTGCGTAAAGCCGTCAATCGAGTCTGCAGAATCATTTGCAAAGCATCGCCATCACATCGAGTCTGTAATAAAGACAATTGGTACTGGACTGGACAATCCCTTCAACCAAGCTGTTAAGCACGTCATACTTACCATAGCTGTTTGTTTCGAGGTAAGTTACAAACATTAAACCAACGGTCTAATGCAGCGGTTTACAACTTTCAGAAAATAATTAAAATCAATTCTAAGAAATACTTAATTCGATCAATTCAATTGTTTATTTATTCAAACATTAATCCCATAACATTGCATTATGCATTACACGGTCATAAAAAATTGAAAGCAGTAAATAAAATAAAAAATAAATTCGAGTTACCAATTAAAAATGTTAAAAAGTTATAAAATTCAAAATTAACATTTGGAATGTTAAAAACAGTTATTAGTGTAGTTAATTCAGAAAAAAATCTCAATAAATACATTTCATCGAAAAATGACATCTGCGTCAGTTGTGATACCTGTAAAGGTATCGGCTGCGGTGAAAAGGTCATTCAAAAATCTCTCATTGGATGTCATAATAGTCACATCTTAAAAACAAAGTCTGCTCAAGTTCATTACTGGACTTATTTAGTCTCTCTGCAAAAGACCATTTACGCTTTCCTAAAATGGCGTAAAAATAGTCCACCCTGTTCAGGACAAATTTGCCAGACGAGCTGCGTTGTTGTACTGCACCCGTACAGTGTTTATCGACCGTTTGGTGTAATTATACCACAGCTGACTCGCATAAAACGCGTGACAGCAAGCTCGAAACAGAGTTACTTTCACCTGGTGTGAGCAGCGTAATTATAAGTATTTGAGCAGTATGTGACTGGATATTAATTGCAATTAAATTTCTGTTTAGATAACATTTTAAGCGAATGTTTTAGTTTTGAAATTAAAAGGGAACAGAGGAAAAATTCCTAATCTTCGATTTGATTTTAGAGGGGTATATCCACTTTAAAGTTAAAAATAAAATATTGTATGAGTAACTACACGATATATTCAAGCATAGACATTAATCAGAAACATAAAACAATAAAGTTTCCTCGATATATAATTTTCTCATTTTTTCGATTTATCCTCGAAATGCTACAGGTTATTAGGACAAAAATTAGATAATTAATTATATTTATGCATGATCGACAACTGTCACTACGGATTTTTTTTAAATCCCTTTAGTTTTAGAGTTATTCAGCTAAAACGAATTTGGTACTTTTAATGCGCAAAATTCAACATCTCCTGTCGCATGTCACGCGAACTTCAGGCATATATTTGTTTCACAAATTTGGGCGGAGCCAACGTCAAAACTTTTTTGGCATGCTCCCTCTTAAGTAACCTTGCTTGAATTTGAACCTGACCTATGTAAGGAAGTATGTCGTGCTACAAATTAAAAAACTCCATACATACCATTGCTGTAATGGGAAGAAATAATAACCGTGGCTTTTATTCGGGTCATTGTAATGATGAAAAAATTATATGTTTACGTTGATACTTTATTTATTTTTTAATTTATATTTTATGTAATTAATAAGGTGGGATACATTAATAAGTGATAATATGAAGTAAGAAAAAAAAGAACAAATATAGAATATTCAAAACTTATCATACATAAAAATACTTATAAAAAAGGCCAGGGTGTTTATTATTAAAAAAAAAACTGAAAACCAATTACTATTATGATTATTTCTTCATATTTCAATTTATTGTTGAGACAATTAATTATTTATATAATATATTAATATTGTATATTCTGTCATTTAACAATTTTTTATTTTGACCAATTAAAGATCTGGTATGCGAGGGTAGGCAAAAAATTCAATAATCAGAATAGAATAGAATAGAATAATGTTTATTGACATCACAAACACACAGAAATACAAAATACTTTACATATTTTCATTTTTAAAACAAGAACATGATACTTATGCTAAATGAACATTAAGTGTGTGTTAGACATTAACAAAAACATGCATTGTTAACGTGATGCCAAGCCTGAAAACATTGTGAGTCATTACAGGTGGTCCCACACTAGGCTAAGCCTGTCCTGTGGCGACCTTTTTACGGCTTCAATTTACTCGTTACGTTACCTACGATTATATTACACAAATAATAAGAACTTAATCTATTAAATCTAACATAAGAATAGGAATTATTATTACAATAGCATGAATTTAAAATAATTGTGATTAACATATTAGTACAAAAAATAAGTATTTATATTTAACAATAATAATTACCAACTACTAAGGTGCTTCACGGGAATGAAAATCGATTTTTTTTTTTTTTCACAATTGGAAACTCACACCAGTAGCCTTTGTACCACCAGTAGAATTTGACAACTCCTGTCAAAACAATGAATGGCAACAACTAAAAACCACAACCAACCCACTCACCTAACGACTCTTAGGAAGCTTTCTGTATGTTCATAGTTCCAAGTCTGCATATGTGACCCAATATAAATTTTTAGGTTTTCGCGATTGTTACACATAGGAAATGAAAGTATTTTTCCGGATCTAAATCGCATATATTTGTTTTTTCGAAATGGGACCTGTAAAGGGCCCGAAACGTTGGTTTGTTTGAAAAAACAAATATACGCGATTTAAATCCGGAAAAACAGTCTTTTCTTAAATATAAATTTTCTTTTACAGATCGGTAACGAAAAACTGTCATACATTCTCGGACCTCTTCTCAAAAAACTAAACGACAGGCGCGAAAGTCACAATTTCCACAACAACAAAGAAGTAGAATATGCCACTGGATGCGCCATCAAATCCCTAGGTCCCGAATTCGTATTGAAAAACATACCTCTAAGGGAAGGCCCCGAATCAATCAACTTGGAAAGAAGCTGGCTGCTACCGGTTTTAAAAGAAAAAATTACAAATTCAAATTTAAAATACTTCGCAACAGAAATACTAGAAATGGCAACATTCTGTCGTAAAAAGTCCAGAGAATTAACGCAAGCGAAAGACGTACCAGGGTCACACACATACGAATTGCTATGCAATCAATTTTGGGCGTTATTACCAAGCTTCTGCAACCATCCTAAAGATATTAAAGATTTTAAGTTGTTAGCAAGGGTGTTAGGCAGTGTGCTTAAAGACAATCCGGAGTTTCGTTTATCTGTAATGCAAGCACTGAGGAAATTGATCGATTGTTCAAAGGACAATGAGGAAGACAAACAAGAATTGGCGCGGTTCGCCAAAAATTATTTACCAATATTGTTGAATATTTATATGTCACCAGCGAAAGGTAATGCGGCGGAAGGACAGCGGTTGGCAGCTTTGGAAACTATTCAGGTAGCATTTTCAAACTTTTTTAATTAATATTTTTTTATTTTATATATTTATTTTTATTCAGATTACCAAGACCCATACATACATACCTTATCGACTAACATACGTAATAATTACTGTAATAAAACATTAATTATTAATGGCGTGTGACGCAACGTGGGTGTCCGATAACCGACCTCGGAAACATCGTTACATGACTCCCTTCGGTCAAACCTCATCCTTTATGAAGGTCGACAGATATTGAGTTGGTACTTTCACCACGAATGAATTAAAATTCACACTGTGGCGGGACCCCAACTGCTCGACCCTCAGGGTAGCATTGGCTTACACCCGTATACACTCCACAATATCGGCAGATTTTATGGCGTAATGAAGCAGTGCAACGTATAACAACTGCGTAGGTATCGCTGGACGCAGTAAATTATTAGGGCCAGTCAGGGCGATGCCACTACGGTTACGGTTAGATGTTTGATCATGATTTTTTACTAACATGATAATCAATTCTGCCTCTCTGGCCGAACGGTTACCATGCCGGACTGCCACGCAGAGGTCCCAGGTGCGATTCCCGGGCCGGGAGAAATATTTGTATGGCCAACGTTTATTTCTCTCGTGAGTTTGGGTGTAATTTGTGGTTGTCTATGTCCATAGCACCCGCGACACAGGGTTTTCTCTAATGCGGGGCTATGTTGAGTGTGTGCGTTATTATCAAAAGATAAAAAGATAAAGATAAATTATCATTTACTTAGAACGTGGGCAATCGGGGGAGGAGGCTAAAACGGATTTCTCTATGTGTTTGTTTTTGGATTTAAACGTTTTGTTTACCGTAGCGCCATCTGTGAGAACTGATGAAAGTTTTTTCGCTCAGCAGGTACCTTTACAGCTACTATAAAACTGATAGAGATGTCGCCGTTATTGATTACAATATTTTTGTTAACCATGTTGAGGTCGCTGGTTCAAGTCCAGTCGGGTCGGAGATTTTAACTGCCTCATGGCCGAACGGTTACCTTGCTGGTCTCCCATGCGGATGTCCGGGGTTCATTTCCCGTGCCGGAAGAAATATTTGTATTGCCTATACTTATTTATCTCATGAGTGTGTGGTTATTTATGTGTGTGTCCACAGTGAGTGAGAATCCACATTTCCCTAGTGAGTGTATGCATTATAGTAATGTATGCATTATAATAATAATCTTTATCAGAAACGGGATAACATAATTATGTTGGTTATATTGGTTTGCATTTAATGCTATTAAGGCAGTGATTTCTCGCGCTCTTTATTTATGTACAGCTTTCTTTATAGGTATACCTGACTATATCAGACCAAACGCTCAGAGAAGAGCTCTTCAAAAATGCACTACAGCAACTAGAGACGTCAACTGATAATCATTTCCAACGTGAATCGATATTGGATATCATTCGATTACTAGTGTTGTACCAGAGCAGTGATGATATTAGTTACTTGTTTGAGAAATGGGTGTTTCCATTGTGTGAGACAGTGCTAGAAGATCCTAGAAAGTTTAGAAAGATGCAGAAGGAAAAACAGAACAAGGAAGAAGCTATGGATCAAGATGGTAAGTAATACTTTTTTATTGACAGCCTCGGTGGCCTATGGTTTGTACTGTGGACGCTGATTAAGGAAGTCCCGGGTTCGATTCTCGGCAGGACTAATTTGATTAGAATAACAATTTTTAAATTGGTTCTAATCTGGGTGTATTTCCCCGGAGTGAATTTCCATAGTCTGGTACTCAGTGTCCATGCTGGATAATATAAAAAACGTATATTGGGGTAGAGGGTAGGATGTTCCTGTATTAAATAAATAAGTAACGCACGTACTCATAGCCCCGCACTAGGGAAACCCTGTGTCGCGAGTGCCATGGACACACACATAGACAACCACAAATTACACCCAAACTCACGAGAGAAGTAAATGTAGACCATACAAATATTTCTCCCGATCCGGGAATCGAACTCGGGACCTCTGCGTGGCATACAGAATGGTAACCATTCGGCCACAGAGGCGGTACAATTCGAATGTTAAATTATTTATTATCCATTTAAAACACATTCATCATTCATCAAAGGTTTACATCTATCATGTAAACCTTTATTTAAATCGCTTAACATCTTACCGCTGCCAAGCATTATATTTTTGAAGTGTCAAAATTCGTAAAGTACAATAGTAAGCTCATTAAAAAGACTCGGGATATTGATAGCATAAATGTAAGAAACCAAGACAGGTTAGTGTATAATAGTACTAGCACGTTAAGTTATTACCAGAAACAATGCGGGGCTATGTGTGTAAAGATATACATATAACGCCTTACGGTACGCCGTAAGGTAATGTCATGGCTAAGAGACAAAAATTTCTACTCCATTAAAGACGAAGATATTTTCATACAAATTTCAACAAATCTGACTACTTAATTTAAATTAAATTAATTTGTTTTGACCAAAGAGAAAGAAAAATTTACTTATTAACTATTTTTTTTCTACATCTTCATGACATGATAATAGCTTGCTATGATAGTATGTCAATATTTAATTAAATTTATTTGACCAAAAAGAAAAAAAAGTATTTACCCATTTTATTTTTTTATTTCTTAAGAGGGAGCATGCCAAAAAAGCTTTGACGTTGGCTCCGCCCAAATTTGTGAAACAAATATAGCCTGATGTTCGCGTGACAGGATAAATCGAAAAAATGTGAAAATTAGAGGTCATTTCGTGATTTTTATCTATCGAGGAAACTTTATTGTTTTATGTTTCTGAATAGTGTCTATGCTTGAATATATCGTGTAGTTACTCATACAATATTTTATTTTTAACTTTAAAGTGGATATACCCCTCTAAAATCAAATCGAAGATTAGGAATTTTTCCTCTGCTCCCTCTTAATGACATACCAATAATTTAGTATTTTAATAAATAGTAATAACTTTGTACTGCTATTAGAATTGCTTTAAAATTGTTAAATTATAAAATATAGATGCCCATAATATATTATTTGTATGCCGATTTTGGTGAAATATGAGGACTGTCCTATTATTATATATTATATTTACCATCCTTTGTAAACCATATTTCAGGCAAATAATTTTCATTTCATTTCATTAAGTTAACAACTTTTTTAATTATTCAAGCCACAGAAAAGAAAAAATTCGACTTACGATACAAAAACAAGGCTCGACTACTGGAAATGGAGCACAAGAAAGCCTATCGTATATTAGAGGAGATATTCAAGAGCGAAAAGGACAGCTGCAAGGAGTTCTTGACTAAGAATTATAAGAAAATCAAGAAGTTACTTATGACTTCGCTTAATAAGGTCGCTGATAGTAGTAAAGCTGCTAGATTAAGGTAATTTTTTTGTATTAATATCTGCTTCTGTATAGTGTTCTTTTGTTGTTTAAAATATTTGACTCGTTATTTCACTTACTTTTGTTTTTATATTTACTCTTTCATTTTACGTTGCAGCGTTGCAATGAGTGCTTTCTATCCTGTTCTAAAGTGCACCTTAATCTCATTATCAGAATATTGAAACTGTATTGTTTCGAAACTCTAAGACAAACAACTTTTCAACTAATTTGTTCCAGATGCATAGAACACCTAATAAAATCAACACCGTATCTGAATAGCGAAAGCAAACTCCTAAAGAGTGCAATAGCAGAGTCTGTGATATGCACAAAGGACATTAACTCTAAATGTCGCCAGTGTGCGTACAACCTTATCAACAGTGTTGGTGAGGTCCTGAAGGGTCAGGAAGGCGGTCAGTACATACCCTATAAAATATTAAAAAGAATGATTATCATTAGTAACAGGTTTCTTACCACGGTATAACTTCTTTTTATTTTCCCGATATTTATAAACCTGTTACTAATGATAATCATTTAGTGAATAACCACGAAAGTCTTAAAATCTATATATTAAAAAGAAGTTCATATAATCACAACCTATTAAAAAAATTCAAATATAATTATAATTTTTTTCTAACACACGTCGTCATGGTGTATCGTGTATATATCCAGAAATAGAGACGAAATGTCATTAAATCTAAAACTATTCTGCCAAGTCATTACGGTGACAACTGCGCTCCAATTGGCCAGCCTCAATTCGAAACAATTGACGGGTGTCGTCAATCGTTTCACTTCAAATCGACTAGTTTAACTTGAGCATTACTATTATGGACGAAAATTGAAAAATTACATATTTAATTACCAATGAAATGTGATTCCATTTGTTTTAGGTGTTTTGTTGTTGGAATATACGAAGACTTACACACAGGTCAGTTGTTGGCGCTGTACTATTTCAGCTCTCTAATTTGTGATTTCAGCGCAAACGAGAGTTGATATTTGAAAGTGATATTAGGCCCAGTTGCCAGGGATGGATGGCCCTTATTTCGTCTCTATTTCTGGTTATATATTCGATGTTGCGGAGGCTCTTTGGAGATTAAAACTGCGTGATTTGTGAATTAGCGGTTTTCCGAGCGTTAAAAAAAACAAAAAAATTACTTTAAAAACGGATACAATTCAAAAACGGCAATTGAGTATTGCCGCAGTAAATAATAAATGTAGAAACTTATTTTTGAAGCGCCATCTGGTGAGATGCTTGAACAATATTTAATTGTAATGTTAAAGAAAATCTCTTAATACGCTATTCGTGGTACAGGGTCAAGAGCACCGCAAGCGCGCTTAAGATTTAAATCCAACTCTATGCCACTTACGATAAGTACGGTCCAACAAAGTAAATAAAAAATAAAATAAAAAGACTTTATTCTTCAACACTACAACGAGACATAAAAACTTAAAATGAAAATCAGTGTTGAAGAAAACGTAACGGCCTCAGCAGTTTGCTGGTTTCCAGGCTTCACCTTGTATATAATGTAAAGTACAAGTAAAATGTGTTTATCACTGTAGACACCGCAGTATACAGTTTCTGATTAAAAACATAATTAAGAAATAACCTCACTCACCACAAATGATACACGCACCGACCATGCAGCAAAAAGTGTAAAAGGCCTTTTATTACATATCGACTGTGAACTGGCAACCGGTACTATCTCAATTTTAACAACCTTACACGATGAAGAAAAAAATTGTTTGCGTCATTTATATCTGGCATCTGGTTTATTAAATAAAAATACATAGTGTATGTGTAATAAAAATGTTTAAAAACTAGATAATAGAATAGGCAGAGAATGAATTTTAATTGCATATTATTAATTATGATTATATTTTTAATTATTATATTAACTTAGTAGAAAGTAATCATTAATGCAAAGATCGAACACTCAGAAAAAGTTCCTTCGATCCTTCGGCCGGATTCGAACCGACGTCTTCTTGCATACCGTTACTAGAAAGTGTCAAACGGCGTGCTCTTGACTGTACAATACAAATAAATTGTTACAGGAATGCAGTCCTTCGTGTCAATGATTTTGACCGGCCTCGAAGCGCCTGTACCTCGCATCATAAGCGCTACCTTACTCGCTGTAGCATCAGCATTATTCAATTTCTCAGAAGATATGGGACTGGAGACTGTACAGGATCTGTTGGAAAAGGTTACGAAACAGATGTTGTCCAACAATAGAGAAATTGTTGGCGCTGCGTTGAGTTTTCTTAAGGTAAGATCTATTATGTACATTTGTAACTTATTTACTTCGCTGACTTAGCGACCCGAAGTGGCTCTTGGCATCTTTTTTTTATAATATCAAGTGACGGGATGAACAAGTCTTGCGTCTGGTGGTCTTGAAGCTACACGCTTTCAAGTATAATAATAACGCACACACTCAACATAGCCCCGCACTAGGGAAACCCTGTGTCGCGGGTGCCATGGACACACACATAGACAACCACAAATACACCCAAACTCACGAGAGAAATAATTGTAGGCCGTACAAATATTTCTCCCGGCCCGGGAATCGAACCTGGGACCTCTGCGTGGCAGTCAGTAGCAGATAGTAACCGTTCGACCACGGAGGCAGTTTAAGTTAAGTACGCTGCCTTATGAGATTTCGGGATTCCAGATTTCTGTAAAGAGTTAATGCGGGCCAATGTCTGTTATACAGTTTTCGTTTGACGGTTGAATGACAGCTCTCAACTACATGGTTCAACAACGTGCCAAAAGATGGCACCTCAAAATATTTGACGACTTTATGAGAACCAGTCAGTACGGTGTAGTTTGTTCCTTCACAGGTTTATACAAAAGTCCTACCCAACGATGTTCTAGCAGGCAGTCTGCCCCTCATATTCAAGACCTTATCTTCGATGCACGAAGATTGCAAACGGCATTCACGTCTCGAAATAGGATACTTCCTAACCCGAATGATGCGGAAATATGGCGCCGATACTATCGAGAAGTTGATACCTGGAACCGATGAGGTAATGTTGCGTCGGTTAAGGAATATTAGGAAGATGGATAATAGAAAACATAGACTGAAGGAGAACCAGAGGTATGTTGATATCGTACTCATGATAACAAATATCCAGCCCAATAACAAGCATAAGAACTTATATCAGACGGCGGACAAAGCGTTTGCCACTTTCCAATGTTCCATCAGGTGCAGTCTTTGTCTTTGCCGGTTTGTGAATCATAAATATTAATTTTGAGCCCAGATCCAGAACTGCTTGGCAGTTTAAGAGGGAGCAGAGGAAAAATTCCTAATCTTCGATTTGATTTTGGAAGGGTATATCCAAATAAAATATTGTATGAGTAACTACACTATACATTCAAGCATAGACATTAATAAGAAACATAAAACAATAAAATTTCCTCGATAGATAAAAATCACGAAATAACCTCTAATTTTCACATTTTTTCGATTTATCTTCGAAATGCTACAAGTTATTAGGACAAAAATTAGATAATTAATTATATTTATGCATGATCGAGAACTGTCACTACGGATTTTTTAAATCCCTTTAGTTTTAGAGTTATTCCGCTAAAACGAATTTGGTACTTTTAATGCGCAAAATTCAACATCTCCTGTCGCATGTCACGCGAACTTCAGGCATATATTTGTTTCACAAATTTGGGCGGAGCCAACGTCATAACTTTTATAGCATTAGAGCTCTTAATGCCAATATCCGTGTTAATTTTGAGATGGGGCCTACGAGATCTCGATCAGACTACCCACTAACGTGGATTGACGACCTTTGTGAAGGATTGTGGGAATTTGCTGGATGTGAGCAGCGCAAGATCAATCATTGTGGCGATATATCCAACGTGATGTCTTTCGACTGAAATGATGATAATTAATTTTGGTTTTATTTGGTCCATTATGAAGTTTTGCCTTACAGAGATCAACAAGAATCCGACTCAGAATTCGAAGTAAAAGGCACATCGAAGACTCTAGAAGACATCCTCAAAGACTCGGACTCCGAGATGGAGTACCTTGATGAAGAAGACCAAAGGCCTAAAGCGAAGAAGAAGAGAACACAGGCTTGGATTCAGGATGACCCGGAGAATATCGTCGACTTGGCTGATGTGTCTGCTTCTAGAAAGATTACAGGTAATATCGAGCAAATTTTCTCTTTAACGCAAGTCGTGATTTCTACGTAAAATTAATGCGAAACCAAACAACTAGTAGCATTAATACAATTTAATATTTCCACCACTAAAATTAATATTACCACTCGCTTGGTTAGTTGGTCACAACACCTCATGTCATAAAATGTTCCACCTCACACCTCACCTCATGTCATTGCCTCATGTCACAGCCTCACTCATGTCACAATGCTTCGAATTCAACAAATGCAACAATGATTGGTCCTGCACTACCCGCTTTTTAGCTGATTCTACATCATATAATCATACTACCACAGTACTAAATAAAATTAGCATTTCTATTATACTATATCATAAACATTTCAGTTATCCAATTGATTCATACCATCATGTTATGAAAATTTGCTTAATATTCCCTGTCTATTGAGTCATTGCTATAGGTGCAAACATTCTTACTACTACCTCACCTTATTTGAGGTAGGACATTGTACCGCCTCATTTTTTCAAATGAGGTACTCCCTCAAACTCATTATAATTTCATGTCCTACCCAACACTAGAGCAGTTGCTTCGAATTGAGAAGTCGATGGATCAAATTCGTGACTTTAATTTCTAGGTTCGCTGCCGAAAAGTTCATTGTAAATTTCAAATTTAATTTCGCAAGTAAATTCCCAGAATTTCTGAGGTGCAAGTCCGGATTCGAACGAACGGCCTTTGTTTGAGAGGCGGTAGGTCAAGCCGTTAGGATACCACGGCAAAACCCAATGTACAGAACACTTATAGACGCCATACTGATGCATGAAGACCCGGTATTGTAATCTAAGACCAGAAACCCAAATGAGTTGTGGTGTACGTGTTTAATACACTTTTGCCTATTACTTTAATGAATAAGCCTAGAATAACAGCTGGGCGTCCCCCTTATGGGGATTTCGAGATTTTATTTTATTTATTTTCCAAAACAAAATAATTTACAGTGGTTCTTAAATCTAACCTACCCATCGACTTCTTAGGTTTTCGCGATTGTTCCACATAGCAAATGAAACTATTTTTCCATCAACCGTAACCTTGAGATCTGTAAAGGGCCCGAAACGTTAGTTTTTTTGAAAAAACAAATATACGCGATGTAAATCCGGAAAAATAGTTTCATTTCTCATGTGTAACCTACCTACTCAATCCCTTAATTTGGTCTATAAGCCTACAGTCATAGCACAGCATAATGCGCTTTCTTTTTAGACATAGTAAAAAAAATGTAATTGAACTCTTAAACTAAGACTACCAATAATAATATTTTAAATTTGATGTTACATTAACTGATACTACTGGTAATAATAACTTATTTATACATTCGCACTAAAGTAGCTAACCCTCCAATTATTCCCCAAATCCCGACCCAAGTAACACGCTTTCCGCAGCAGTGGGGATTTGAATTTTTTTTTCCAAAATTCCCACCAATTTCTTCTAATTTAATTATTTTTGAAATTATTCTAATTACCATTTTACTTTCACAGCAACTGACCCAACACAAAAGAAAGCAGTACAAGTGAAAGAGAAGAAGAAAGACGGCGGTTTCAAAACTGCTCCAGATGGTAGACTCATCATCAGTGATGATATGTTCGATGATGATGAAGCTGATGACAAGCCGAAACCCAGTGGTGATATTGATAGTAATACGGATGACACGGGTAAGTAAGACTTAACAATAAGTTTTTCAAAATTCCTTTTCTGAGTATTATTGCTGGAAAACTTAGTACATATTTATAAGGTATAAATGTATGATGATATTTTTACTTAGAAGTAATGATAAATTAATGATATGATAAAATGAAATATAGTATAGTAATGATATTCATATATTTTTTGGTAAAATAATCCACTACTTTGTTATTATTATTAATACAAAGATCGAAAACATTAAGAAAAATTCCTTCGATCATAGTGGACTCGTTACACACACGCACGCGATCACGAGCGCTCTAATTTTATCATTAAAATATTGATCATTAGTTGATAAGACTTACACTTATAAGACAGGCAGAATTTATAAATTAACACTTACTAATATGGGTAGATGGCGCTAATCCTAAAAAAAAATATTAGGATAACCCGCACTATCCGTAAAAATCTGTGCAATAAGCGCCATCTGGTTGATTTGTTTATTATCACCAGAAATTAAAAGTAGCTTTGATAAATTGGATGGATAAATTGTTATGGATAAATTACGGAACAGTGTGATAAGAGTGCGTTGCGGCGTGGAAGAAGATATAGTGACAAAGATAGAGAAAGGGATGCTTAGATGGTTCGGACATGTAGAGAGAATGAATGAAAGAAGAGTGACGAAACAGATTTATAAGGCGAGTGTGAGCGGGCAAGTTGGTATGGGCAGACCAAGGAGAACTTATCATGACCAAATTGAGGCCAACCTAAAGAAGGGAGAACGTGTATGAAAGCATTGATGCGTGTTGATGAGGCGAAAGATGTGTGTCAGGACCGTAGCAAGTGGAAGACTGTTGTCTCTGCCTACCCCGATGGGAAAAAGGCGTGAAGTATATGTATGTATTGATAAATTGGAGTAAAACAAATTAGTTACAAAAATAGCTATTTAGTACTCACCGCGACATCTGGTGTACAAATAGGTACTAAATACCCGACTACGCGGACTTGTATCGCGATTACCCTCAGAGTTATTAGTCTATGCATAGACTATAAATATTGATCAGATTCCTTGGAGGTGGAGACCTGGTGAACTAAAATACAGGGAATCCTAGTTTAGGTTCCAGACTTTAGAAATTATCCTGTATAAACCTATTATGCCACCTGAAATTGTTTGCAAACTTGTGGAGTGAGTAAAGAATTTACTTACTCGAACCAGCTGCTGTCGCCTCAACGTGGCTACATAGTTTCATTTCCAATGTCGTTTATTTTGTTTGAATATGCCAAGTCCGTTTTCTTATAATT